GATTTTGGAAAAACAGTTTCCACCGCCGAGAAATACGGGCGCAAGTAAAATAGGCAATGGCGTCATTTCGTTGCTAAGACAACAACGATGTCGTTGCAACCCTGATCATAACAAATTTTCATCTTTATCTTTTGCAGCTGTGGTGGAAACTTTTTTAGAAACTTTTGTTATAGGTAGTTTATGCTCAAACTTGGGAGGTATCGATCCTGAAACACCCTATCGAGCCATCTTTGAGACAAAGGTTGGCAAGAATAGAACACGTCATGTTAAAATTTAAAAAGTTGGATATTGCGAACCCTCTCCACCAATATTCTAACTCCTTTGAAAAGCACTCTGGCACAGAAAAATTCAGCCTTGGAGCCGATCCTGTTGGTATAACCAGTTGGCCGAGCACTCCCTTCCGTGCGTCTAACTGTATTATTTTAAAAGTCGTCGCATTCATGTAATGTTTAATGAACAAGCAGCAGTTTTTTATCGGATTTGAAATCACCATCCGAAATAGATAGATATGAAATTAGACATGCAAGAAAATTAAATCTCACACGCGTTTAGAACTTTGCTTCTACGAACGACGCTAACTGAAGAGGACATGGTGTTATGCTCCAGAGCTTTTCGGAAGCCTAAAATGTCCGGGGAGAAGAACAGGTTAATCGAAAATGCTACCCCAAAGTGAACAAGTGCAGTGAAAAAGTAGCCTTTGAAAAGATTTTCTGAAATTGCCGAATGGTAGGAAAACGAATAACTAGTACTCGAGCCTTGCGTCTTCACAACTGAAAAGTCTTGCGTGCAACGCTCGTATACTGTAATAGCCAATATTACCGCTAGCAGCAATTAGTAGTCTGTTGGGTCCCCGTTGTTCTAGATAGGAGGTCTATTTTGTTTCGAGCCTTCTGATTGGTCTAAAGGATATTTAGATCCATTGTTGGGGGAAATCGGAAATATCTTAGAACAAGGCTCGGGTGTGGTCGGAAGCCTTCGGAGAGGGCTTGGGTGCCTTCGGAAGGAGGTAGGAAATATGTTAATGAGGGATGATGTCATGAGGTAAGTAGGAGAGACACAGCATGCGCAGGGCAGAACGCAGCCGCAGTAACGAAAAACGTTGTGAATAAATTTGTTTAATCAAATTACAAGTATTATAAAGTCAGAGAAAAGTCCGGAGAGATACTGGAATAAACGCCAGTCAAGAAGAAATCTGTTTACCAATAAATCGAGAATGACTGGATTTCCTTGCGTTCCATAAACTGGATATTGGTACAATGGAATGGACGGACCGTAATAGTGGCGCAGTAAATCTAAAATGAGAGCGATTCTAGCATCGTTGAATTTCTTTTCATGCTTGTTCTCTGTCACAATCATATCAATCTAGAAGAAGAAGTGTGTTTAAGAAATATTGCTTGAATGTAAAGGATTGTGCTGATGGCGACTAATCCCCGAAAACAAAGGGCAAATGAATTGCGAAATAAAACAAACGTTCAAACGTACCGAGTATTGCTTGGTTTTTCGTCTGAAACAGTGAGGACAGCCGTAAAAGCGAGGATAAGGTTTGTTTTCTATAGCAGAAGAAAAACGTTTGTAGCCGCTTGAAAACGAAAATGCCACGAACATTGGAATACCTGTTCTAAGGCAACAGGGAAGGCGGGTTAATTCTTCATTCATTTTTGTCCTTCTGTCATTGGTCATGAAACATTTGGTCTAGAACATAATGATTACTTGCACATCGAAAGGTCGCAGGTTGCCGAACGGTTTGTTTTTTGGGTCTACTAAGCCCTTGTATTTCATTGCTTCGTTAGCAAAAACAGCACAACAGGGCGTGTCTTGTCATGTGCTTTAGCAAATGCTAGGTGTGTGAAAAACACAAGGGAATAGGTTAAACCAATCGAGACTAAAAAAAGTCGCTGGTGAATCAAAATTAACCAATGAAAGAGTTTAGCCAATATGTAGAAAACTAAAAGAAGCTAACACGAGGAGCCGCAAGCAGTAAAATTTCTGTCCCGTAATTTAATCAGTTAAATCATCAAAGTTGACAGGTCTTTCTGATGATCAAAGCGACCGTTCGGTTTACCATTTACACCTTCAGTGCGAAGACTGTCACGGGAACATTAACACCTTCAGGATAATTGCTTACCATAACAGTGGTAGGTCGCGCGCGTCTGGTCGGTTTCAAAGAACGTGATCGTGACTGTTGTTTTCATTCATTGACTGTGCGCGTTGATATGCCAACGTTTAAAACAGACTGCAACATTAAATTTTTGTTATAAAAGCAAAGAAGCTGCTGAGTAGAAACTAAACCGTCCCAGACTTATTCCGTTTCATTCGTGTACTTTCATTTTGATGGGGTCTGTATGATGAATTTACTTCTGCCTTCTAATCAGGCACGTAAACAACATAGAGATAAAACATTTCATTTTGCTTTTGTGGAGTAAATTCATCTTAAAAAAGTTAAACTAGTGGACCACTTTCTCCGCGTACTTGTAAAAATAGGCATTTAATATGTCGCGCTACAGTGCGAAAATCTTCTTGTCGTGGATTAGATTTCAGTATACATATTGTTAATCTTCATTTCGCGCCAGAATAAATTAGTTTGCGCGCAAAAAATCACAAGGTCCCACTTCGAGTCCACCTTCTGGAGATACGCCGGCATGGTAGCTGGAATACATTACCGAGGCGAAGATCTGGCATTTTTTCCTCCTCGTCTTTGTTTCCCCGCGATGTTTGTTTATATTTGTAGTGAGAATGCTGTGCATATCGGTGGATTTTACTTCAGTCAAGCGGCTTCAGTTCCTGCGGCTTGCTACTCATCATAAAGAAGAGTGCCGGAATCGCTTTGTTCGCCTTTAACAGATTTGTTGTCGAATGCAAGGTAAAAGAACGGACTACTGTAAGGTAAGAATTGAAGTTTAAATTTGTTTCTCGGCGAAAAATAGTGCATACAACTCGTGAAACCCGTGAGTATTACCTCTGTTTAATATACCGGATGTCATGCGATGACCCCTCGCTTTTACGATGGATAAGACGGATACAAACAATAATTTCTTTCGCAACGTTTAGTATAATTTACTTAATATGGAGATCATCTGAGGACGATTTTTCGTTATATATGCTTCATTTCTTGGCTTATTCCGGCTACGTGCGAAAAATTAGATGACAATGTTTGTGTGCTATAATTATACTGATAATTTCTTGCACCTTGAAACTCATGAAAGCCAAACTTGTTTAACCCTAGCAAAAAACTCTTTTAATGGAGGAACTCAACCTGATAGTTGCACTAAAATCTAATAATTGTTACTGCATTTGCATGCTCTCTGTAACCTCGTGGGTAGAACATACCTGATGGTTACATTAATAATATCACTGCATTTGCTCTCCGTAACCTCGTGGGTAGAATATACCTGACGGTTACATTTAATAATAATCAATGCATTTTCTCTCTGTAACTTCGTGGGTAGAACATACCTGAAGGTTACGTTAATAAAAATCATTGCATTTTCTCTTTGTAACCTCGTGGGTAGAATATACCTGACGGTTACATTTAATAATAATCACTGCATTTGCTCTCTGTAACCTCGTGGGTAGAACATACCTGAAGGTTACGTTAATAATAATCATTGCATTTTCTCTTTGTAACCTCGTGGGTAGAATATACCTGACGGTTACATTTAACAATAATCACTGACTGCATTTTCTCTCTGTAACCTCGTGGGTAGAACATACCTGAAGGTCACGTTAATAATAATCATTGCATTTTCTCTTTGTAACCTCGTGGGTAGAACATACCTGATGGTTACATTAAGAATAATCACTGCATTTGCTGTCCGTAAACTCGTGGGTAGAGTATACCTGATGGTTACATTAATAATAATCATTGCATTTTCTCTTTGTAACCTCGTGGGTAGAACATACCTGATGGTTACATTAATAATAATCACTGCATTTGCTGTCCGTAAACTCATGGGTAGAGTATACCTGATGGTTACATTAATAAAATTAATCATTGCATTTTCTCTTTGTTACCGCGTGGGAAAAAAAATTAATGCCTCTGAGTCTCTCCTGGAAATTTTGCCCTGTCCTTTGAGCATAGTGATCTTTGGGTAGCGAATTCACGAAAACAGGTAAAACGCTTTTTTTAACAACAGCATTTATATTATTTGGCTTTTTGAGGGAGGTTAAACATTAATGGAATAGAATATAAAAAAAGCTGATAAAGCGGAAAAAGTCATCTTTACAAAATGCGCTTTCATAATGTCAAGGAGTGAAAAAAGCTGAAGTTTTGTAGGTAGCCCGAAGAAAACCTGTTCCTGCGTGAAAAGCAGTTCTGATTCCCTTCTCTTAACTAGAAGAGATGCATATCCCTGTGAACCAGTTTTTTAACAAGGAGCGATTCCCACTCACTTCTGATTCTTTATTGACACGAATTCCTATTTCAATATATGTCTAATTCAAGCTTAGCCGCGTGATAGCTCTTCATTAGCGAAAAGGTCCAAGTGATATTTTGATTGACGTGTTGTTTTGGATCCTGAAGTTTTTTAACACCTTTTCTCTAGCTTAACTGGCGAAGATATTCTAGGAATTTGCCCTTCAATTCCAAATTCTTTGATGTGCCGCCAGATGCCGTGCAAAAATATCACCGCTTGCGGCTCCTCGTGCGAGGCTTGGGTGATCATTGGAAGGGGTCGGAAAGAGTCGGAAATAAGAAGGAGAGACACGTGAGAGTAGTCACTAAAACATATTACGCAATATGCAATGAAAGGAATAAAAATATGTAATGTGTAAAAATATCAAACGCAAAATTACATGTTTAAAAATATCAATCGCAAAATTACAAAATAAAGGAAAGGGCAGCTGGTAAACGACAAGATCTGTCGTGTAAATAGTCTAACAAAAAGTCCAAACTATCCTTAACCATCTGATTTTGTCTCTTGTCGTGTACTGGTAATTCACAGAGCTGTATCTCTGGATGAGCCTGTCTAAATAACCGCAAAATATGGGCCATCATATAGTTTATCTTCGTTTCCCATAGCGACAATCATATCAAGCTACAAGAAAGAGAAACAATCTTAGTGGTAAGCATGAAAAAAAATGTTGCATCATATAGTTTATCTTCGTTTCACATAGCCACAATCATATCAATCTACAACAAAAAGAAAAAATCTTAGTGGTAAGCATGAAATTGATGAACACACTTACCGACACTTGTTGTGTGTTCCTTCTGAAACAGTGAGGACAACCGTAAAAGCGAGAATAAGGTTTGTTTTCCATAGCAGAAGAAAAACGTTTGTAGCCGCTTAAAAACGAAAATGCAACGGACATTCGAATAGATTTGCGAAGGCAACAGGGAAGGCGGGTTAATTCTTCATTCATTTTTGTCCTTCTGTCATTTGTCGTGAAACATTGGGTCCAGAACATAATGATTACGTGCACCTCGAAAGGTAGCAGGTTGCCGAACGGCTTGTTTTTTGGGTCTACTAAGCCCTTGTATTTCATTGCTTCGTTAGCAAAAACAGCACAACAGAGCGTGTCTTGCCATGTGCTTTAGCAAATGCTAGGTGTGTGAAAAACACAAGGGAATAGGCTAAACTAATATAGTTGGAAAAAGTCGCAGGGGAATCCAAAAAGCACCAATAAAAGAAAAGCCAACGGTGCGAAAAAAAAGGCATGAAATCAGCCTCATTTCGCTTGGCCGTTATACCTTGTTTCTTAATCGAAAATAATGTTCCTTCAAGAACTAAGTCTGAAAGCTGTGCCAAACCCAGGGGAGCAATCCAAAAAGTTTTTGCCGACATGGCATATGGTACGCATTGCCCTTGAAGAACGGGAATTCAATGAGATGAGAGACAGGTTCAGAGAGTAACACAAGCTTCGTTTTCGGTACGTACTCATTTGAATTGCGTGTGTTAGAAGACTTAAACTGGACCCTGCCCTTGTTTCCCAGCCACGTGTGGTGGCTACAGCGAAGGTAGCTAAAGGCGTAGACTGTTCTTTGTTTAGAGAGACGCTTATGGACATAAGGACATTAAGAGATCTTGACTGGCCGTTATCCATGAACGTATTTTGCCAACTTCCTCCATTAATTTAGACCAACGTTACAAATCGTAGAAGCATACCGAGGTATCAGAATAAACTATCTATCTATCCATTGAACTAAGCGAAAGCTACTAATTACTGAAACACTACCGATTTAACTATCTGCCATTGCACGGATATTAAATGTGATAAACGCATACGCGGGCCAATGTCTGTATAAATTTCCATTGCTGTACGCTCGGTTCATAAAACGTACAAACAGTGCTACGGGCCACATTCCGTTTTGGTGTGCAAGAATCGCAGCCAAAAGCTGAATTAGATTAATCGTTACAATAATAAAATCTAATAAGAATAGGAGAAAAATGTAAGAAAAATGTACACATATGCAGCTAAAAAATTTAATTACAGTTGCTATAAATAAATGTGTTCTTAAGTCTCTTCGTCTTGGCCAGAGAGACATTAAAATTCCTCTTTGGTCTTAAATTGAATTCACAATTGTCATGAAGAGATTCATAGAGGTCTGAAATCGTAGACCCCTGCTGATGTTCGCCTATTCAATAGGCGAACATCAGCAGGGGAGCTCTGAAGAAGTAATCAACTTTTTACGGCTCATTTGCTTGGAGGTGACAAATTCTCACATCAACTGAATTCCTCCACGTCAACAAGATTTCGGTTCAACAAAGACCTCAATTACAAATTAGCCGCATTAGAAGTCTTTCTGCCGAACCGGAGTGCATTTGCCTTTGTGGCTTCCCTTAAAATTTATTGTCCTTCGAGAAGAGTGATTTTACGCACTTCTTGCGGGGGAATTTTTCATTGTATATTTTGTTTACTTGTATTTATTAAACACTAATGGCCAGTTATTTAGCCCGCATATTGCAAAATCGCGTTATAATTAAAGCCATTTTCAGTTTGCCCATACGCTTTTATCAAACCCCATTTATCTTGAACAATTTCAATAAAGCATATAAGGCAGACTGGTAAAGCACATATTTTCTTAAATTAACCCACCAAGAAAGAGGTCTGGAGGTCCAATGATTTCTTAAACCGCGGCCTAACGTAGCCCGTAATGGTTTGAAAGTAATGCCACTCTATTTTCTTTTTGCTTCTCTCGCAAGTTAAAGTGAGAGTTCACGGAGACAGTGCGGTTTTCTCGAGTGCGTTTTAAAAGCTGCCTTAACGAAAAGGTTACTACACTACCGGAACTAAAACATTGTGGAAATTGTTAATTTAAAGCCGCCGAGTATTTTCCTCAACAATGAATAATATTACTTCTAACTTTCTCCAATAACGCCGCAAAATGTTTCAGATTATTGATTAGTAATCAGTATCGACCTTAACACGTTTTTGCGCTAAAATGATAATAGGTATCCATTTGGAGATGATACAAAGCCGGAACCCAAAATAGACTTACCAAGCTTCGGCCGATGTTTAGAAAATTGAGAAGGGCTGAAGAGCATCACCGTTCGGGTTAAATCCAGTCCTTAATAAAAATAATTTAAGCTTACATAATCAACAACGACGTGAGTGCCCGAGTTTCTGATTCGACGGTCATCTGCCACCGTCATTTAAAATTTCCCAATTCAGTAATCCACGACCAAGTACCTTTTCCAGATCTTCTCCGCACGACGAAACGCTTTCTATGACTTCTCTGATCGCTACCCGCTGTATTTTTTAGTAGCTGGAAGGAATTTAGGCCTTCTTTGATCGCTTTCAACCTGCTTTCGTCTGCCTTTTATCGGCGCAAGTTAAAGGCTCGTGCTAAGGTTGAAACGACAACAACATGATCTTTCCTCTTTGAAAAACCAAACCTGGATGGGTTGACTCGAGCGCCAGTACTATCTGTACTATCGACCAAATCATAAATAGCTATAAATAATCGGCCCTGCTACTTCCAAACATCATCTCTACGTAAAAAGCATAAAATTTTGACTTGCCATGAAATATATCTGTCGGTAAAACCATTTGGTCACTGATACTGCATAAGAGATTACCTTTGTTTGGCAAGCGAGGGTCCAAAGACTGAAGATGCTTTCCCCGACGAACGTGCCACTTTCATGCCAGCTTTGAAAGTTCGCGCGAGATCGCATTGTGACACAAACAGTATCTGTCTTTCGTCTCAGGTCGCCTTCCATCAGTGACGCAAAGTACACAACTCATGACAGATTAGAGGCTATTAATTGAATCCTAATTAGGTTTTTACAAGGACACCGGAAAATGAAACTTCCTCCCTGTGGTGAATTTCAAAGTCGTATGAATCTCGTCATTCGAGGTGGCAAGAGCTCATGCAGTTTATGGTCTGAGTTACAAGTGATAGAATCAAAAAGCTCGGTTGTGATAGACTGCCTGCGTCGAGAGAACGTCTCCAAGTTGGCTTGATGTAATGCGCAACATGGCAGTTCCACCGGAGGTCGGATGATATATTTAGACCTAACAACTTAACAGTGGACACTACCTCTATTGCTTTCCCGTTGATAACAACGGGAGCAAAGTCCGCGGCTGATTTAGCGAACGAAATCCGTACTTCCTTACACCTCGACTCGTTTAGCTGGAACTTGTTTGGTTAGACTTAGCGGTCAGTTCCTCCACATCAGATTGGATACGGCTGTCTTCCTTCTTGTCAACACACTCTGCAATAGTTGTGTCATCCACGTATTTCCACAGTTCCGTGTTACTGGTGTTGATGTCATCAATCATGAGAATAAACAGCGACGCCCGAGCTTGGTTCCCTGAGGCACCCCTGCCGGTACGTTCCTCCATCAATGGTAAAAACGGATTATGTATTTGTATGTAGATCGTCGCGTGACCTCATTCGACTGGTCCCAGATGTCGATTGGAGGCCCTCATTTGCTGTCTGTTTTTTTAAATTTTATTTAGAGAAACCCTGGAACGGCTACCTTTTATCAGAGACTAAGAGTGGACACCGCGCATAACAATTCTTTTACTGTCATTGTAAAAACGTGTGTTTTTGTTGTTTATTGTAGAAGTGTTGTGCAAAACAAGTATTGTCCATTTACGAAATGGTTGAATTTTTACAAAAATATATGTAGTCATTGTGAAAGAATATTTGAGTTTGTTCTAACATTAGATGGTTTAATTTTGACGTGGAAACACGAAGAGGTAGATACAAATCGGGAACGTGAGACCCTTTTGAAATGGTATAAAGGGCCATCGATTATTCAAAGACTAGGACGGTAAACGAATGGTGTGTTTTTTATTTTCTAGACCAACGCTTGTGGAACTGAGAGTGTTACCTTGTTGCCCCATTACGTTGTGGGTGTATACGGGGGAGACATGTAGTAGTTGCAATCTAAGAATTGGACTATTTGGAATCTGTATTGAAGACTGGCTTCTATTTAGGACTCGGTCAGAAGACTTTGACCTGTTTGCAGCCTATGTCAAGTTTTGTAGAGTGTATGCATCATTAATTGAAAGGTACCCCTTTCTATTTCCAGAAGAACAATAGAGGAAATCGGAGAAAGAGCTTTTTGTTTTCACACCCAATGGGTCAATACAAGTACTGACGAACTGTGCGCCCACTGTTTAAGGATTTTAACTTCAAGATTAATTATAGACGACCATATTGATCTGAACTACTGGAAATATTTAAGGGTAACGGCCGAATATAGACGAAATGCGCATGAAAATTGTTTTGTATTGTATGTAACTTTATTTGAAGAATTGATTGAAATGGGCGGGGAAGTTTAGCTTCCACCACAAGTCCCGCTTGAAAGAGTGTAAAAGTAATTGTCCCCATAATTAACTGGGAAATAAGACGGGTAATGGATATTAAATTAGGAAAGGAAATGGAAAATAAGTCTTAACATCACGTACGAGGGAAATACATGAAAGAAAAGGTAAAAAAAAAAAGGTTGAAAGAAAAAGGCGAAAGGTCATTGCGTGCAGGCAAAAAGAGGGAGTATTAGTCACTGACGTCAAACAAGATGGCCGCCTAATCCCCGAAAACAGAGGGTGAACATGAGGATCATTTTGCTAGGTCAGCGAAAGTAATGTCCCGCGTTTTTAGAAATAAGCAATTTGCTTGCCGGCAGAACGAAGGTGAAATAGTAATTGCGTCAGCAATCTTGGCAACAATGAGTACGTACGTTAATGGAAAGAGCCTACCTCAGTAACAAAATTATTTATTACACGTGTACAATACGCTTCAGCGAGTTTGTACGCAAAGGAAGCCTAAAACAGCTCAAGGGCCAATACTGCCTTTTGTTTCAGCGATTATAAAGGAACGACAATTTGCCCATAATCGTTCATTCACTGCCAAGTGTCTTAGAGTCTTGAGCAATTAGCGATTACAACGAGTCAGCATTGTCAAACTGTAAGTTCTAATTCAGCTAAGTCATTGCTTGAAAATGAACCAAGATTTATCAAATGAAAGTAAGATTGTTTAATTACCCGTTGCGTAAAACAAAGTGTTTAAAACGAAGGAGAAAGCGGAATACTTTAAAGCTGTCGTATTAATTTATAGAGCTCATCAGCTACAACGGGGAAGGTGTTCAAGAGCCAACCTCAATAGAAGCAATGGATAGCGACATTGAAGGTAAATTTTGTTAATAATGTTTGGTGTATTAGTAACAAAGCGTCAACAAAAAGTAATGTAGGCGAAAGTGTAAGTAAAAGACAATTATAACTGCGAACAGTGTGTGTAAGAATACGTAAACAAAGTGAATGCAGAAAATTATTTTTACGGAGCAAAGCATAACCGCCAACTAGGGTTAACGGTGAGTAAACTGTGAAAGTGTACGTTTTTAAATTATAACCGCAAACTGAGTGTTGCATAGCGGAAAGTTAGATTTCAAGTAAAACACAGAAAAAATAACAGCAATTCGACCGTTTCGAAGCGTAAAGAACAAAATGTAGGCCTAATTAGCAAAAACATTTTTAAATTATAACTGCAAACTGAGTGCTGAATAGCGGAAAGGTAGATTTCAAGTAAAATACAGAAAAATAACAGCGACTCAAGCGTTTCGAAGCGTAAAGAACAAAATATAGGCTTAATTAGCAAAAACATTTTTAAATTATAACCGCAAACTAAGTGTTGCATAGCGGAAAGGTAGATTTCAAGTAAAACACAGAAACAATAACAGCAATTCGAGTGTTTCGAAGCGTAAAGAACAAAATGTAGACTTAATTAGCAAAAAACAACCAAGCGTTAATGCAGGCGTTTCGTTTTTATGCTTTATAGCCTTAATGAACGAAGATGACGAGGGTCTGTTGTCTGCCTTTCGCCGCTTCGAGCAACATGGGGGGAATCCACTTTTCCGAGCATTTACACCAGTGGGAAGAAATAGATCGTTTCGTGGCATTGTAGACAAAAAGAAATATAGGCTTACTTTACAACAACTGCGAGATGCGCAAGATGAACCACTAGGGGAAGCCATCACCAAAGCTCTAATTCAGGGGCTGCAGCAGGTGGTGAAAAACGAGGGTTTGAAAGTCCAGGATAAATCTTTGCTAGTCGCTATCATTCAAACTCATTCACTCATGTCTGGTCACAATCTGCCCGAAATGTCCCTTTAGAAGAATGGTTGTCTAATGGGGCTTACACCCGCGCCTGGCTGGAAGAGTTAGCCAAACTGAATTCAGCTCAAGTCATGGACCCCCAACGAGATGGCTTTTATGTAGAACTCACCTTTGTGAAACGGTTGGGTCGTGGAGGAAAGAACGGGGGTAAAAAAGCCAATCCTGGCCGCCATGCGTGGGAGAAATTGGCCAAGAAAAAGAGGTCTGTTGTCACAATCCAAAATAAAGACAATCTCTGCCTCGCCCGGGCCATTGTGACGATGAAGGAGAGGGTGGACAATGGCTCCCAGTATCAGAATCTAAGGAAAAGGAAGACCCATTCAAGAACGATTAGCCAAAATGTTGCATCGAGAAGCGGGTGTTCCCGGAGGCCCCTGTGAGTTTGAAGAATTGAAAAAATTTCAAGACTTTCTAGGACCACACGGGTACCAACTTATTGTCGTTGAACCTTCTAAATGTTTAATTGTGTTCAAAGAGGCAAAATACTATAACACACCGCATGTTATCTCATTGGTGAAACATCAAGACCATTTCGATGGGTTTACTAGCATCCCTGCCCTTATCAATCGTTCCTATTACTGTTGTCTGTGCGATAAGGGTTATGATGTCGAGGGCGCCACCCACCACAACTGTTGTGGACAAAACTGCCCTGCCTGTCTTCGAAAAAATAAGACCTGTCCAAATTATGCTGGGTGGGTCAAGCCAACCCTTGAATGTCCAAACTGCAACTGCAAATTTTATGGCCAGGATTGTTTTGAAGCCCACAAAAAGAAAGGAAAGAAGGAAGACGACAAAAGCATTTGTGAAAGCTGGAGAAAATCTATGAAATGTTCCGCCGAATTTCATTTTGATCCCAACAAACCGCATAAGTGTTACCATGTCACCTGCACTGACTGTGGGGAATTTAAGCATGTCAACCATAGATGTTTCATTCAGCCGGTCCAGCCGAAAGAAGACACCGCCCAAGAAGACGCATTTGAAGATCCCATGGCATTTCAAAATGAGGATGATGACCAGACTGAAGAGAAAGGTCCACCCCCTCCCCCCGTCTTAAATTTCGCGGATATCGAATGTTCGTTAACTGAAGAAAGAGTATTTATGCGCAACCTAATCTGCTGGTCGACTGAAGAGGATGACGAGACCGTCGTTTACTGCAATAGGAGGCCAAACTGCACACTTTTTTCTGGCAAGTCACCAAAGGGCTATGCTCCATGGATAAACTCAGCAATGGCTGCTTCGTTTTGAGGCCAAAATCCAGTGACGGGTTTGCACTGCTGATGACAGGCTTGTAAAAACTTTTCAGCCGCAGGGGATAAGGTTTTACCTTGGTTTTTTCTCTTTTGTAAACAGGAAGCTAAACTTGCATCACTATAAGGTAAGTTTCCAAAGGATTCGTTCTTCTTAAATGATTCTGACCCCAGCGGCGGTTTCCACTCAGCATGTTTCTTACGATTTATACACGCTTGAAACTCATTGTTGGCCATGGCTTGGATATCTTTCCACGCATCTGTTTTCTTATATATTTCGGCAATCTCGGGACTCCAATGAAAGGCACTTGGTAGCACGGGGGCTTTTTTTCTTGGCTTCCCATCGTTCGTTTTGCTTACAGGTGCTTTCAGCAAACTGATTGACCCAGGCTTGTTCAGTTTGTTGCTTTTTAACTGCTCTATATTTTGCTCTGCTTGTTGCAACCATGTCCAACTCTCTTGGTTGTAGGATTTGAGAGGTACAGGTTTGTAAGGTTTCTTGTCAGTTTGTTTTTTTCGAAGCCAGTCTCTCGTTGGATCACCTGGCATGGGATACATCGGTGTGTGGATCCACTGAAAAAACCTGAAGCGAGATTCTATAGCTGAACCACCACAGGTGAGAAACACTTTGTTGAGATTTTTGGCGGTTTTACTTAACCGAATCTTGGGAATCAATTGGCAATAACACTTCATGTCACCCCATTTTGGCATGCAATGAATCTCTTGTTGAAGGACCTCTCTGACTTTCTTCTTATCTTGTTCTTTCCCATAAAACGAGGGACAAGGTTTCTCTTGGTCTCCAAATACTAGGAGAAACTCAGTGGTTAAAGGTTGCTTTACGTTCAAGTTCATGGTCATGGCTGATAATCGATCAACGCTTGCCATATATTTTACAAAAACATCTTTTGTTGAACAATGACGTCAATCCCTCCCATCCTCTGGGCCACGACGTTAATGACCTTCCCAAGGGATGGGGCAAGAAAAGACAAACAACATGACATCACGTAGGCAAAAACAAGTTACAACTTTAATAAACTAAAACAACTTTTTTTACATTGTCTAAGGAAATTGAGATCCTCCTTCGGTTTTCTGCCTTTTCTGAAAGGTCATTTTTTTCAATGACCATGTCATTCAGTCGTTTCTTGAGGGCTGCTCGGGTTGCTGTCTTGGGCACATAGTTTGGTTTGGGGGCCTGATGGATCCACTGAAAATACCCACATCTGGCTTCTCGAGGTTTGGGACAGCCTAGGAAGACTTTGTTCTTGTTTGTGGGTGTCTGACTCAACTGCAATTTGGGTACTAATCCACATTCACAGCTGAGGATTCCCCATTGATTGAGTATTTTGGTGTGTATCTCGTTTCAACCACAATCTACTTGTTCTCAACACTTCCAAAAAAGACAGGGCAGGTAGAGTATTGCCCTTGTTTAAGAAGGACAAAGTTAGTATGCAGAGGTCTGTTTTCATCTTTGAAATACTCGTAGGCCTCTGTCTCAGCCACCGGTTCCTCCACAGGCCACCATTCCACTGTTCGCCTATCTTGGGTCACTGCCACTCCCTCTTCCATCACTTGCACAGGGTCAGGTTGTGTTTCCATTGACCTAGGTCCGCCATTAAACATGTCATCCATTGTCATCTCTCCATAGCTTGGAAGAGACATGAGTTGATCAGGAAACTCTGCTAGTTGTCCTGCTGATGACGGGCCAGGCATTAGAAGGTTTGTGGGCACTGTTGGCTGAGGTGGAATGACTCGTAGTTCATCGCCAGCATATGGTGGATCATCAGTCACATCTTTAGGGTTCACTGTTTTCTTGGTTTTCTTGCCTTTGGGACGTTTGTTGCTTCCTTGAATTAGTGCTTGAGGTTCCATCATTAGTTTTTCCAATTGCTGCACCTTAACTTGTTCAGGATTAGTTAAGGACTCTTCATCAGACGAACCAAATATAGTGTGAATGAGTTAAGAGGATTGTGGCTTTGACATTCTCACCTGTTGCAATTGCTGAACAGTCGTTTCTTGAAGTTTGCACATAATGATTCTTTTCATATAACACGTATTATTTTAATAATAAGGACCTAAGGGAATTGAGCAATGACGTCAATGCTTCTCCCTAGAGAGCGGGCAAGTGCAGATCATCACGTCCCTACATTGTTTACGCTTTGGTCAATGACGTCAATCTAGTCTAAATAGCGTCCCTCTACCCAGAGATTTCATTCACTCTCAAAGTATGGAGACTGTGTTGTTGCTTTCTGTCACGGTTTTAAAATCACCGATGAGTTTTTTCTCTATCGAGAAACTGGTTTAAGTAGTCGAGATGGATATCATCATCTTTTGTTGTCTTATTCTCCTGGACATGACTTGTCTGCTTTTTCCAATGAGACCCAAATGACTATTGATGAGCAAATGAAGTACGATCATGGACTAACCTTTGACGACAATTCTGGCCGAGATCAAGAATTGGTTGCTGCTGATGTTAAAAAATGGTACAAGAACCACCGTCCCTCCGATTACCCGGCGGTGGGTTTGTTAGAGGCAACACCACTCAAAGACGTGCTTCAAGCCATGGACATTCCCATTGTTGACCTTTCGCTGGATTTCAACAAGCTCGTGGAATGTCCTATAGGCACCACCAATGTGATGAAGCCCGGTGATGATAGAGCTTGGTGCAGAGAAGACGATCATGGCAAGCTTCCTGTTTGGCACGATTATTGCGCCCGGGTCATGGCGTGTAAGCTCAGTTGGTGGTTACGAAAAACATTGAAATTGCAACCCACCGTCCAAGAAGTCAATCAGCAACGAATTCTATGGCAAAAACGATGCTATGAACTGCTGGATTGGATCCTATGTGAATACTGCAATGACGAGAAAGAGGATGCCTTTGACAAGGGGTTAGGATTAGATTGGGTGCCGGACAATTGCGATGGCAAATTTAAAATCGTGCAGTATATTTTTGAGCGAGACCTAACTGACCCAAGATGGGAAGATCCTTATGTTGATGAATTACCCGAATGTATGCGAAAATAGGTATGAAAGAGTGTTGTGTAATAACATTTTTCATTTTTTTTCCTACCGTGACTCAAGCGAGTGACAATGTCCACCCTGTTTTTCAAAAAGAAGTTAGGAGAGTCCCAAAGGAAATATATTAGGGTGGATGAGTCAGTGGAGCGTGAACTGTCAATATAAGCGAGTGTTGTTGTTGACTCACCTTCAGTGATGACTGACAACGAGTGGTTTGCTATTGTGGCAAGACTCAAAACTGCTCTCAAAGACTTGGAAGAACGATATGGCTACGACACCGTGCACTAAGATGGACACGTTATTGAAAAAACTAGATCCTGGAAACTTTTCCAACTACAAAGAGTTTATTCGCGCTTTGCTCATTGAAGCCTTGGCTAATACAGAGTTTACTTTTGACGAGTTGAGTTACAATCTCTATGCTTTGAACAAAGAGATTTTTAATCAACTGAACAAAGAAACGACGGCCTTTTTTAAATTCTTGAACAGACAACCAGATGTGGATTATAAAATGAAAGGGTGACTTGCTTGAGTTCCAGTCAACACTGCCTTTTCTGGAAGGAACATGGACACCCTCTTCAACTCTATCGAACATTCCAAAGTACAAGGGTATCATGACTTTATGCAAGCCATCATTTTAGAAGCCATCTCGCGTCATAATTTCACCTTTGATGAATTGAACACATTTTTGTTTAACCATAACAAAGAGATTTTTGAACATGGTTGTGAAATAGCCATTGCCTATTTTGATGACTATGCTCCTAAAAGCCTCAAGTCCTGTGGGAATTGAACATGTCCGGGCAATGACGTCATTGCATTCTTCATTCTCTGGACGTCAATGCTTCGTTGTTTGGTCTGTTTATATTTCCCTTTTGACTATGTGATTCTTTCATTCCATGAAGCAAGATGTCGGATGTGAAGCCTTTTACGATTATTAGTGGTGGCGCTAACGGAGTCGATTTAGAAGCAGAACGTTTTTTCAGAAACTTTGGTTTACCTGTACAGATATTCATTCCACCTTGTCACCCAAGAAGCAAATACCTGTCTCCATTAACTCATTCACAGTTGGGAGAAGCCATTCTGATCCCGAACCAAGTGTCAAATCGCCTCAACAAACCTTT